TGAAATTTGGAAGTATGAGATACTGTAATTGGTGTTTCCAATTCCTTAAACTAAAGACCTAGGAGTAGAACTATCAATCATGGGATAAATGTGTTTAGCTTTCAAAAGAACCAGTTGTTCAAGCAGTGTACAGATTAATGTAAAAGTCTTCAATTTGATTCCATTGGTCCACATCAGTTTTTACACCAGTACCAAGGGGATTTTATTACTATAGCTCTATAGTAGAGCTTGAGGTCAGGGATTGTGATGCCTCCAGTGATTGCTTTATTATACAGTATTCTTTTTCTCTCCTGGCTTTTGTTTTTCCATATGAAGTTGAGTATTGTTCTTTCTAAGTCTGTGAAGATTTGTGTTGGGGTTTTGGTGGGGATTGCATTGAATCTGTAGATTGCTTTTGGTAAGATTGCCATTTTTACTATGTTAATTCTACCTATCCGTGAGCATGGGAGATCTTTCCATTTTCTGATATCTTCTTCAATTTCTTTCTTCAGTGACTTAAAGTTCTTATCATACAGGTTTTTCACTTATTAAGTAGAGTTACCCCAAGGTATTTAATATTATTTGTGACTATTGCAAATAGTGATGTTTCTCTGATTTCTTTCTCAGCCAGTCTATCATTTGTATATTGGAGGGCTATTGATTTTTTTGAGTTAATCTTGTATCCTGCCACCTTACTGAAGGAGTTTATCTGCTGAGGAGTTCCCTGGTAGAATTTTTGGGGTCATTTTTGTATACTAGCATATCATCTGCAAATAGTGAAAGTTCGACTACTTCCTTTCTAATTTGTATACCCTTGATCTTCTTTTGCTCTCTTATTGCTCTAGCTAGAACTTCAAGTACTATATTGAATAAGTATGGGGAGAGTGGACAGCCTTTTCTTGTTCCTGAATTTAGTGGAGTAATCGCTTTGAATTTCTCTCTATTTAATTTGATGTCAGCTATCGGCCTGTTGTAATTACCTTTGCCATAGTAATTACCATAGTAATTACCTTTACTATGTTAAAGTGTGTTCCTTGTATTCCTGATCTCTTCAGAACCTTTATCATGATCTGGTGTTGAATTTTTTCAAAGGCCATTTCAGCATCTAATGAGATGATCATGTGGGTTTTTTCTTTCAGTTTTTTTATATGGTGTATTACATTGACAGAATTTTGTATGTTGAACCATCCTTGCATCCCTGAGATGAAGCCTACTTGGTCATGTGGATAATTTTTTATGTGTTCTTGGATTCTGTTTGCCAATATTTTATTGAGTATTTTGCATCGATGTTCATAAGGGAAATTGGTCTGTAATTCACTTTCTTTTTTGCATCTTGATGTGGTGTGGCTATCATGGTAACTGTAGCCTCATAGAGTTTCGTAATATTCCTTCTGTTTCTATTGTGTGGAACAATTTGAAGAGTGTTGGTTAATTGGCTCTTCTTTGAAAATGTGCAAGAATTCTGCATTGAAACCACCAGGTCCTGGGCTTTTTTATGGTTGGGAGACTTTTAATGACTGTTTCTATTTTATCTGGTCTTCACTTAACTTTAGTATGTGGTACCTATCCAGGAAATTGTCCATTTCTTTCAGATTTTCCAATTTTGTGGAATACAGGTTTTTTTAAAGTATGATCTTATGATTCTATGGGATTCCTCATTTCTGTTGTTATGTCTCCCTTTTCATTTCTGATTTTGTTAATTTGGATGCTCTCTCTTTGCCTTTTGGCTAATTTGGATAAGGACTTGTTTTACTTGTTGGTTTTCTCAAAGAACCAACTCTTTGTTTCATTGATTCTTTGTATTGTTCTCTTTGTGTCTATATTATTGATTTCAGCCTTCAATTTGTTTATTTCCTGGCATCTGTTCTTTCTGCATGAGTATGCTTCTTTTTGTTCTAGAGCTTTCAGTTGTGCTGTTAAGTCAATTGTGTGAGATTTCTCCATCTTCTTTATGTGGACATTTATTGCTATGAATTTTCCACTTAGCACTGCTTTCATAATGACCCATAAATTTGTGTATATAGAACATTCATTTTCATTGAATTCTATGAAGTCTTTGATTTCTTGATTTTTTCCTTTTCTCATTGGTGATTCAGTTGGGCATTATTCAGTTTTCATGATATTGTAGGTTTTCTGTAATTTTTGTTGTTGTTGAAATCTACCTTTAAGTCATAGTAGTCCAATAAGATACAGGAGGTTATTTCAATTTTTTGTATCTGTTGAGATTTGCTTTGTGATGAAGCATGTGGTCAATTTTATAGAAGGTTCCATGTTTTGCTGAGAAGAAGCTATGTTCTTTTTTGTTAGGGTGGAATGTTCTGTAGATATCTATTAAGGCCATTTGAGTCATGATATCTCTTATTTCCCTTATTTCTCTGTTAGGTTTCTGTGTGGCAGACCTGTCCATTGGTGAGAGTGGGGTGTTGAAGTCTCCCACTACTAGTGTGTGAGGTTTAATGTGCAATTTGAGCTTTTGTAATGTCTCTTTTACAAATGTGGGTGCCCTTGTACTTGGAGCATAAATGTTTAGAATTGAGGCTTCATCTTGGTGGATTTTCCCTGTGATAAATATGTAATGTCCTTCCCAAACTCTTTTGATTGATTTTAGTTTGAAGTCTATTTTATTAGAAATTATTATAACTATATCAGCTTGCGTCTTAATTCCATTTGATTGCAAAGTCTTTTCCCAGCCTTTTACTCTGAGGTAGTGTCTGTCCTTGAAGTTGAGGTCTGTTTCTTGTATGTAGCAGAAGGATGGATCCTGTTTTCATATCCATTCTGGTAGCTTGGGACTTTGTATAGGTGAATTGAGTCCATTGATATTAATGGATATTAATGACCAGTGATTGTTAACTCCTGTTATTGTTTGGTGGTAGTGTTGCATATTTCCCTTTGGTATTTGCTGATGTGAGATTATATATTGCCTGCATTTTCATGGGTGTATCTAAATTCCTTAAGTTGGATTTTTTCCTTCTATTGCTTTCTATAGGGCTGGATATGATGATAGCTATTATTTAAATCTGGTTTTACCATGGAATATTTTGTTTACACCGTCGATGGCAATTGAGAGTTTTGCTGGCTATATTAGTCTGGGTTGGCATCCATGGTCTCTTGGTGTCTGCATAACATCTGTCCAGGACCTTCTGGCTTTTAGAGTCTCCATTGAGAATTCGGGTGTTATTC